TCAGGGCCTAGTGGTCTTGATTCACTTTTTGTTCAAGGTTGGTACTCTACCACTTGACCCTCATATCCACTTCTGGCTTTTTGCTGGTTAATTGGAGTTAAGACTCTCATGGACTTTTCTGCCCAGGTTAGCTTCAAATCTTGATCTTAAGATCTCAGCCTCCTGAGTAGCTAGGACTATAGGTATGAGTCGCCTCTGTCTGACGAGACTGCCTATTTATAAAGGAAGAGATGATGAGGGTTCAGACGGCTTTTACCACTTAGAACAGAAGGTGGACATAGAGAGAATGGACAGATGAGATAACAAGGGCCCATCTGTACTTCCAGTGACTTCACCTCCTGGTCAAGGACGCAAGACTTCTTGCAGCCTGGACATAATCAGTTATGAACTGTTTTGCACTCAGACTCCCCCATCTTCGTTTAGTGCCCCTCCCCTCTCAAACAAACAAACAACCTTAGGAAGCTGGACACACACACACACACACAGAGCAACACCTCAATCTCAACAGGCTCCCCTATACCTGGAATCCTACTTCTGCAGCTCTCCCATCTCCTGAAGCTCCATAGTCTTCATAAATGGGCCCCTTCACCCGGCACCGGTGGCTTACACCTCTAAGCCTTGCTACTCAGGAGGCTGAGATCTGAGGATCACCATTCAAAGCCAGCCTGGGCAGGAAAGTCCATGAGACACTTATCTCCAGTTAACCACCAGAAAACCAGAAGTGGTGCTGTGGCTCAAGTGGTAGAGCACTAGCCTTGAGTTGAAGAGCTCAGGGACAGTGCCCAGACCTAGAGTTCAAGCCCCACGAACAACAACAAAAAGAAACAAAACAAAAAACAAAACCTGAGGAATGAGTAACTGGAGAAATTGTGACCCTGATTGCTTTGTCTTGTTGGCAGAGAATAGGTTCTAGCCTCAGCATTTTCATTAGTGCAGTGTTTTCATTAAAGTCTCCATTAGCTCACTTGCAGCAGTGAGATGGAATTATCCCTCCCACCAGGCCGGGGAGAGATGCTTGCCAAGACACTATTTCCCTTGGTCAGTAGAAAGACACTGCCTCTTCTGCTATGATGTTTCACCCAGTGGGAAAGTGATGTTTCACCCAAGGCAGCCTCAAGGCTTTGTTAAGGTGTGTGTGTGGGGGGAGGGGGGACCTAATCCTTCTCAGCATATAGCCTTGTGGGAAAGGAACAATTCCAATTTGAGCTCTAGGACCTAGGAGGGAGGCAAAGCGGTCCCAGCTAGACACAGACTTCTAAAGCTGAACAGTTCTCATGCCTGCCTCTGTTCTTCTCTAACAAAGTTTGACTTGGAGACACAGCCTAGCACATGGCTGAAATGTACTCACGTTGTTGGGGGAAGAATGTTCTTCCCATCCTCCTCCCCCTAAGGCCTCCTGCTTCTCCTGAGTACCTGTCATCAAAAGGAGATGAAGATGAGTTCCCCCTCAGCCCCCACACCTCACTGGGTTGTCAAGTGTTCTCCCTCCCACCTGAACAGGAAGCAGGAACAGCAGGGCCAGGTTGCAGGTTGGGGAAGGCAGAAGTTAACTTGAGCTGAGTTTGCAGCCTCAGAGAGATTGAGGAGCAGGCTTTTCTCTTGTCACTTTGGAAGGAGAGGATTGTGGGGCTGCCCCTTTAAATAGCATTCCCGTAGGAGGCAGATCACATCTATCTGTCACCTGCTGCCAAAGCATCATTTTGGGGGGGGGCTCTATCAAACTTGGAGCTTGTTGGAAGAGATCATGGGGTTAAGGGAATGAGGAGGCAGGGATTCAAAGAGGGGGCAGAGGCAGTTCAGATATGAAAAGGAGAGGAATAAGGTTGGACAGAAGGAACCTGGGGAAGGTGGAGGTGGAGAACCAGAGAGGAAAAGAGAGAAGAATGGCTGTCTTTCCAGTCTGTGAATGGAACAAATATATCCCTCTCTTATCTCTTTAGAGGTTGGGTAAAGCAGAAATAGGAATGGATTGCAACAAGAGGAATGAGGTTGAGGTTTGTCTCTAGGACTGGCGACTAAAGGAAGTGAAAAAGCCACAGAATGGAAAATGCACTAGAAGGGACGTGGCTGTGGCTTTGTGGCTGACTGTGGAGGATTATATTTGTGTGTGTGTGTGTGTGTGTGTGTGTGTGTGTACACATTGGGCCTTGAATTTTTCCTTAGCTTTTTTGCTTAAGGTTGGTGCTCTATCACTTGAGCTATATCTCCACTTCCTGAATTTTGGGTTAACTGGAGATAAAGAGTCTCATATATTTTTCTGGATTTGAACTGCCATCCTTAGAGCTCAGCCTTCTGAGTAGCCAGGGTTATAGGAGAGAGCCACTGGCATCTGGCAAGGGACTGTTTTTTCCTGGGCTTAGTTTTCCCACTTGCTAACTGGCTGCAATTATCAGTTAGATGGCCTCCAAAGTCTCTTTTATAGATTATCCTTTTCTTAAAAATGGGTCAGGAGGATTGCATGTGTCATTGTGTTGACAAATGTTGAGAAATCCTCCTGGAAGTATGTCTCTTAGCTTTTCCCTACTTCTCCCAATTTAAATACCTATCTGAATTGGGAAATTCCTTAGCTCAAATCCTAGTTTTCTAATTAGACCTCTTTAAACTGATAATTCCAATTTCTTTCTTTCTTTCTTTCTTTTGTTGTTAGTCATGGGGCCTGAACTCTGGACCTAGGTGCTGTCCCTGAGCTCTTCAGCTCAAGGCAAATGCTCTACCTCTTGAGCCACAGCACCACTTCTGGTTTTCTGGTTGTTAATTGGAGACAAGAGTCTCACAGACTTTCCTGCTGGCTTTGAACCATGATCCTCAGATCTCAGTCTCTTAAGTAGCTAGGATTACAGGTGTGAGCCACTGGTGCCTGGCCCAATTTGTGATTTTTTTTGTACTTTCCAGCCCAAATGATAAGTACTTTCCTTCTCCAATTGATAAGGAAAGCATTGCTCCCAATTTTTTTGTAACTGATCTCTCTCTCCATATAGATAGAGATGTCTCTATATGTATATCTGTATCTCTGTATGTATATATATATGTATATAGATATCTCTATCCATCTTTATGGATATATATGGATATGGATATATATCTACATAAATATTGATATATCCATATGTATGTAGGTTTTAAGTAGTTGTACAAAGGGGCTTCAGCAAATCATTTTATAAGTGTAACACATCTTAATCAATGTCACCCCTTCCATTGTTTTCTCCCATCACTTCCGAATTTTGAGAACTGCATTGTGTATGAATGTGAGCAGGGTTTCAGGTGCAGTTATTTCTGGGTTGGGACTGCCCCTCTGGCTAAGAAGGGACAGTCATGTGTGCTGAAATTAGATGGACAATGGGGAAAGTCCTGATGTTTTTTCTATTTTTTTTTCTCCATCGTTGACTGCTATATTTGTCTGCCTGTACTTCCCAGGAGCTGCTTCAGCTGACATATCTGCCAGATCTGAAGCCCTGACCTAAGCTGGCAATTCCTTTACACTGGGAATCTCTCAGCTGTGACAGTCCATCCTCTTTTCCAACTGACCACTTCCCTTCTATTTTCCCTTCCTTTATTTGGGGGAAGGGATAATAATTAGAATAATTACTCTAATTAGAATAATTTCTCCTGCTCCCCTTTTCTTCCAACCTCTAAACTTCTCTTCTTTATTTGTTTGTATGTCTACCTCTCTCTGTCTCTGAGACAGAGTCTTGCTATGTAGCCAAGCTGGTCTCCAACTTGAAATCTTCCTGTCTCTATACCTCTTGAGTGCTGGGATTACAGACATGTGCCATCTCTGAAGAATTCTTGCAATGAAAATTCACATTCTGAGTTCCTGGATTAGTGTCTGGGCTTAAATCTGGTAGTTAGTGAGCCCATCTCCATTTTTATTTGCATATATGCTTCCCGAATGGAGAACAAAGAAATAGTAGTTATTCCTGGGGGTCCTAGGTAGAGCCTGAGCTAGAAGAGGTTTCCTCCTGTCTGGCATTCAAATTCTAGCCCCTCATTCCACAAATGTGGAAGTAGCCACTATGTGCTGTGCTGGGCCTTTAGCCTTTAGACTGCTTTCTCCGAAGACAGAACAAGAGGAACCGAACTGGAACAGCTGCAGGCTGGGTGGAAGAGAGCTATCAGGAATGATTTCCTGGGTGCAGTTACTGGATAGTGAGAAAAGAAGTAGGGCGGTCTGCACCGAAGAGCTTTAAACTTGAAATACCCACGGGCCAATCGGGTGTCTAGAGGCACCCTAGCCTTCTAGGGTAGGCCTTGTTGATGGAGACTGGTGTGTGGGGGTGGGGTGCGGTGGGGCAGTGTGTGTGTGTGTGTGGGGGGGGGGGATCGGAGCTTGAAAATGCCTGCACAAACTTCCAGCGGACCCCTTTCAAGTCAGGATCACCAGTGGGTTTTGGTCTGGCTGGGATCACAGGGACGATGCTCTGGGAGTGGGAGACGTAACGACTCTTCCCCCTCCCGCCCACTCGGGGACCCACACCGCCTGCCAGGCACACGTGGATGCCTGAGCCTAGGCACCTATACAGAAACTCCAAACACACACCGAAGGAACCCAGGCAGCCCCCCTGCCCCGCTCCCCCCACCTCAAGCCCCACGGAGTCCCGCCCGCCTCCTGCGCTGGCACTTGCAGTAAACACGCACTCATCCCTCCCCGCTTCCCCTGCGCCCCGCACCCCCACCCGCCCGCCCGCCCGCGCGCGCGCAGGGGGGCGCACACGGCCATCCCCGAGGGTCCGTGGGCGCCGGGCAGCGCGCGCTCGCCCTTGGGGCGCTCCCCGTCCGAGGGTGCCCCCCACTCGGCTTCCAATCGTTCCCGTGGGGCGGGGAGGAGTGGCTGCGCCGAGTGAGAGACAGTCAAGCGGGGCGCGGCGGGGGGGGGGGGGGGAGCGGGCAGGCCGAGGAGAGGGGAGGGGAGGGGAGGGGAGGGGAGGGGAGGGGGGAGCCCGGCCGGCGGCGGCGGCGGCGGCAGCGGCGGCGGCGGAGGAGGAGGAGAGCGAGGCGCGGAGAGAGGCGAGGAGGCGGCTCCGGCAGCGCGCGCGCGGCGGCAGCGGTGACAGCGGCGCCCGCGGAGAGCTGGGACCCGGAGGGAACCCGGAGCTCAGCCCGGCGGTGTGAGACGGAAGGAACCGCCGCAACGGCCGCTCTGCCAGCTTGGGCCAAGCCTAGAGATACCGGCCTGGCTGGTCCACGCCAGCCGCAGGTGGGAAGGGCCTGGCTTGGATGGGTGGGTATGGGGGAGCACCAGGGTCTCCGGGGGAAGGGACGGAATGGGGCTGAGCTGAGGGGTGGTCTACTCCCTCTCTTCTTCCCCTAGACGGTGGCTGAGCATGGAGCTGTCCCCCCGCAGTCCTCCAGAGATGCTGGAGTCCGATTGCCCGTCACCCCTGGAGCTGAAGTCAGCCCCCAGCAAGAAGATGTGGATTAAACTGCGGTCTCTGTGAGTCGCTGGGCCGGGGGGAGGGGGATAAAAGGGAAAGGGGGGGGGCTGGACTGTGTGTGTGTGTATGGGGAGGGTGGCTAGAGCCCAGCTGGTAGATTCTTAAGGGCACACATGTTAGCAGGTGCAAGGTAATACAGCCCTGACACGCGTGTCCAGGCCACATGCATGAGGCATGTGCATCGCCAGCGGGTGTCGGGTAGAGCCGGCTTAGGAGTTGCAAAGCTGAGGTTGTGCCTGTGCCTGTGGACCTTCGGGTGACACACGTAGCGGTGTGGCAGGGCTGCAGGCTGGGCAGCATTCAGGAGGTTCCAGGCTGACTCACACGGACCCCGTGCAGGGTGGTGCAGATGTGAGACACAACACATGCATGTACACGTGTGTCCCCCGGTCATGGAGGTGTGCAGTGATTGAACAGCGTTGTGTGCCCGGGGGGGGGGGAGGGGGGTCATAGGAATCTTGTGCCAACCTGTGGGTCATAGACATCTCAATTGGGATCCCTAGTTTTGGCTTCCTCCAGCCTGCAGGGAGTAGGGGTGAGGGTGCACCTCCTCGTCTTTGGAGCCTAGAAGCTCATTCTGCATACTAATGACACACCTGGAATCTGGAGGAGGGGGTGAATGCCCCGACTGGGAGCTGGAAGAGGGGGTGGTATTGAAGCTAGATTGATTGACAGGCGCAAATTTAGCAAAGGCTTAATCGAAGCCCTTTTGTTTATATTTAGGATGTCCGAGCACATTGAGACATCACTTCTTATTGTTGCAGGAGCAGCAGGGCTTATAATGGGGAGTAATAAAGGGGGGAAAAGAAGGACTCATGTGTCCCATGCACCAGTCCCAGAGAGGAAAAGAACTTTTCTTCCTGTCCCTCAGAAGAGGACAGGATTTGGTCAAAGACAAGCCATGTACCCTGTTTACCTTCCAGTCAGCTGCCATTGGGCAGTCTCCGCAGTCTGTTGATTCTTAATGAGAGAAGAAGGGAAATTACCCCTCTCCCTAAGATGACTCCCCAAAGCCCCAGGAAAGAGACTATAATAGATAGGAGACCATGGATGCTTACTGAGGAAACAGTAATCACAGCCTCCAAACTCCATTTCTTCCCAGTATTCCACTCCCACCCCCAGTAATAAGCACAGAAGCCTTCCATTTTCTGTGTTCTGATAAGGAGACAGAAGGAGGTAAGGAATGGGCAGATACAGACAGTAGTGGTGTTCTATAAGTACTTTATCTGTGGTGGTAGGGGTGTGCCTTTATATCAGGCAGGTGGGTCTGATTTTACTGCTTAGGGAGGCCTTAGGGAGAATGAAGCATAGTGGTCAACAAGGCTTAGAATCCAAATACGCTCCCCTTCCGTCCCCCTCCATTGCTGCCTCTGGGCCAATGCAATTTGCTGGGCTCTATGAAGCGCAGCCTTGGAATGAGTTCTGGGATGAAGAAATGGAAAAGCGGAGGGAATTGATTTTTGTTGGGTGAATCTTGATAGAAAATGATGCTCTGCTAATGGTAACTAAGCTGAGGAAGGAGGGTAAACAGGTAAGGAAGTGGATGAAAAGCCAGGGATAAATAGGCCTCAGGGTCTCTACATGGAAGAATTTGAGGTGTCTCAGGATGACTTCCCACGGCACTAGTGGCTTGACCACACTCACCTGGCCTCTGATCCAGGTCGGGGGGCAGGGAGGGTTCTGTAGAAGAGTGGGATTTTTACAGTTTCATCATCTCTCACATCTTCCTAACCCAAAGTCTTTCCTGAAAGGTGAATTGTGAATTGCGGTTTCTACCTTGAGTGTGATAAGTGCTCGGTGGTAAGAACAGAGGATCCTAGAAAGAGGAATTGAACTCTGGGGAGAGAAGGGAGTAGAGGCTGCCTTCATGGGTGCTTTAGCAGGAGTGGCCTTTTGTGGTAGGATTATCAACTATTGATTTGATTACTCTGGCCGTCACTCTAGTAATCTGGTTCTTAGGAGTGTAGCAATTTAGATATAATGATTTACCCAGAAGATTATTCCTCACGAGAAGTAGTCTCTCAATCTCATTTTCTGAAAGCAGAGGAAGATCTGGATCTCAAGGTAGATCCCAAATTAATGGCTTTTTGGAAATGGCCTTTTTGAATATTAGGGAGCTTTTGACCATCAGTTGAAAGGCAAGTAAAGTCTTTGCAAGGCTTTTGCTGAGCAGAAGTTCCCAGTTCTCTGGGGTCAGATTGTTTCTAAAGAGGTGAATAAGGAAGGATTCCTTTCAATGGAAATACAGTTCTTCCTTCATGACTTAGAGTAGAAAGGGGTTGTTAGTCTGGAAATAAGCTTCAAACAATCATTTCTGGACTGAGTACTGAATGGAAATGAAGACAGATGGAATGTCTATATATCTATATATATCTTTCTTGATTTCCCTTACTCAATATGTCCTACTCCTCTTACCCTCTTAATTTCTAATCTAGGGCATCGACACATTTTAGGAGGTTTTTTGTTTGTGTGTTTTTGGTATGAGGGCTTAAATTTAGGTTCTTATGCTTGCTAGGCAGGTGCTTTACCACCTACCCATGCCTCCAGCCCTTTTAATTTATTGCACTTGTTATTTTTGAGATAGGGTCTCACTTTCTGCCCAGGCATGTTCCTGGATCATGATCCTCCTGTTTTAGGTTTCCCATTGTAGCTAAGATGACAGGCACATACAACCACACTCAACTTCCTCCAATGAGATGGAGTCTTGTGGACTTTTCTGCTGAAACTGTGATCCTCTTTATCTCAATCACCCTAGAATGACAGATGTACATCAACTCTGGTTTAACATGGCTGGCTTCAAACCATGATCCTCTCAATCTCAGCTTCCTAAGTAGCTAGGATTACAGGTGTAAGCCACTGGCAGCTGGCTTCTTTAGAGTGTTTTTGCTTCTGGATAAAAGACCCCCAACAATATAATGGTGCAGGACTGTCTCTTGTTGGGAAAAACATGTAGGGATTTTGTTTCCCACCCTAGAACCCTGTAAAGGATAAATTGAAAATCTGGAGCATATGAAGTAGAAAAAATCTCCAACGGTGAGATTTTTATTTATTATTTTAGGAAATTTTTTTCTAACCAAGCAACCCTATAAATTGAAGTGTGTAAGAGGCTGGGAGAGACAGTCTGGAAAGGATGGGTTGGTCAAGATGATTTTCAGCCTTGCTAAACCTAAGATGAAGGATTTGATGTAGTTGTCCACTCTCTGAGACCTTTTGGGACTGTAGGGAGAAAATGTAGAAGTAAGAGTTTTCTGTATTTCTTTTTGTGAATCAAGAAAACGTCTGAGCAGTGATGGGTTTCCCGCCTCAGCGTCTTCATTCATCCAACAACAGGATGAATGGCCCTTGGACCAGATTATGTGCTGGGAGATGGGGCTGCAGTGGTAGACACAATAGACTTGGTCCATGGGGCTTAGAATCTGGCTCAATCCTGTCCAGTGAGGTCCTCATTTTGCTACCTACATCCACCTAAGAAAGACAATTCTACCAAGGTGGATTTAAGCCTGGTTTTTTTTTTTTTTCCCCTTTGGGTGGGAGGGAAGTTTACATACACAGGAAATGCATATGAATTCTCTCTCCCAGGACAGTGCAAATGTTGCTCCCTGCTCCAGTTTCCCTTGGAATTTTACAGATAGAATATATTTTTCCCCTTCTTTGTTGTGGGACAGTGTAGACATAGTCTCCCTCCCCTCCCCCACAGTGTCCTACACTACGGTTTAAGGTCATAACAGCTGAGATTAAAGCAGAGGACCTAGCGAGGGATTTTTTTTTCCCCCGCTAATCTTTGTTTCACTCGAGTCTAAGGTGGTACTTTGAACATAATAGGCACTCAATAAATACTGTTAAATAAAGATGCAAACAAATGGGTGAATGAATATATGTACAGTTGTCATAAAGCTCAGTTCTGTCTCTTGATTTTGTGCTGCGTGTCTATATACCTCCACGCAGGAGAGGGAGGTAGGAAATGGAGATGGAGGAAAGGAAGATGATTTTTTTTTTGTAAGCTGGTAATGCTTTAAAGGTCTGAGGTTTGGGAACCTCAGTACAGAGCCTGGAATTGAATGAACTATAGAAAGGACATAGAAGCTATGATATTTAAATTGTGTGAATGAGATACATCAGGCTGAAATTGTGAACGTCTGCTATATGTATCCATGTGTGTCTGTGAAGGTTGATGTGAGTGCCGGAGGCAGAGCTGCCAAGGATACCCTTTTGTTTTTATGTTTTTAAGTGGCACATGTGATAATAAGTGGGCCTGGAAAGTACGCACTAACCTGAATAACTGAAATTGTCCTAGGTCTGAATGAGATGATGTATGGATTCATGTTAGCTTACAAGGAATGGGATAATGTGTGTGATTTTGTGTTTCTGTTTGTGACACGATTTTTTTTTGACAATCTTGGGGAGATCCAGAGGGCAGGATTTACCCCTTTCAAAATGTTCTCATTTTGTATGTGCTCCAAGGAGCAGTCTTCTATGGCTCTTAACAGTTTTCTCTTCTTTTTTCTTTCTTTTCTTCTCTTTTTCTTTCTTTCTTTCTTTCTTTCCTTCCTTCCTTCCGTCCTTCCTTCCTTCCTTCCTTCCTTCCTTCCTTCCTTCCTTCCTTTCTTTCTTTCTTCCTTTCTTTCTTTCTTTCTTTCTTTCTTTCTTTCTTTCTTTCTTTCTTTCTTTCTTTCTTTCTTTCTTTCTTTCTTCCTTCCTTCCTTCCTTTATTCCTTCCTCCCTCCCTCTCTCTCTCTTTCTCTCTTTCTTTCTTTCTTTCTTTCTCTCTCTCTCTCTCTCTCTCTCGCTCGCTCTCTCTTTCTTTCTTTCTTTTCCTTCCTTCTTTCTTTCTGTCCTGGTCCTGGGGCTTGAACTCAGGGCCTTGCTCTAGTCCCTGCACTTTTTTTTTTTTTGGCTCAAGACTAGTGCTTGAGCCACAGTTCCACTTCTGGCTCTTTTTTTTTTTTTTTTTTTAATTCTTTTTGGTAGTTAATTGGAGATAAGAAAATCAGACGTTTCT